ATACCACGAACATCAGCACAGATACATCCATTACCAGCAGCATCGCAAAATACAGCAAATCCTTGCCTCAAATCGACAAAACGTGGCTGTGGTAATGGGGATGAACGGAATAGGGCATAAATATCGTGAGCCACATCGTAGGGCACATCTTTGGTGTCCCATGAAGCAGTCACACGTGCCACCTTACCCAGAAGCAGTCTTTGACGAGCTCCTTCTTCAATATTGATTCCTAAAGGGTCATACATCTGACCAAGGGCATGGAAACAATGACGACGCGTACTGAGATCCTCATTGTTTAGAGCTACTGGCCGAGTTGATAGAACATCGTCAGACCTCTCCCATACATAACCAAGCTGAGTGCAGAGCTTTGCCTCCATAAGCTTAGACGTGGACACTTCAGCAGTCCTCGACACTTCCTCGCCCTCATCCCAACACTCTGAAGGTGCATCAGCGGCATTCTCCATAGTATACTCTATATCCCTCCCCAGAACAGACTTACTGGGCTGACAGTGCATGCTAGCCCTCTTTTTCAGCATTTCACGTCCATGCTGTCGACGTACAAAAAGTTCCGACCACTTCCATGAAGTGTAGAGAAGGTCGTCCATGTAGTATTGGAACGCATGAGAGACCGAGCCGTACTTGAGGACCAACATTTCCTGAACATCCAGAAGTACCAAACATAGACTACACGGACTATTTACTAGTCCAAAGGGAAGGACTAGACAACGATAGTAATGACCTCCGATACACACATTCAAGTACTTACAATCGGCACTGAAGAGTAAGACTTGTAAGAATGCTCGGGTAACATCGTCCCATGCCACAAAGGGACACATACGGAAACGTAGTAGAATAGCACGCAAAGCATGCCGCAGCAAAGTAGTATCACCTGAGCCCAGGAACTTATTGATGCCCCGAGCATCAACAGTTACCCTCACTGGTTGAGTTTTATGATTTGGTCGTAGAGCAGTCACAGCAGCCATTATTGGTAGATCTTCCTCAACCTCATCAGTAGTCAATGGCCGTATGTATCCTGAGTTAACCATATTGTTCACCTCATTGCAGAAGTCCATGTACCAAGTACCACCCATATTTTTGAGCTTCCTACACGTAGCCTGATCTCTCGCAACGGCAGCGGCTCTACCGAGTCCTGAGGTGGAAGATTTCGGCCTGTCGCAACTCAACCATGGTAGAGTTACCCTAGCCCGAGTATTACCCTCGCTCGTCGAAACGTGATCTACCAGTATCTGACCACCCTCTTTATCGGGTGGTCGTAGCCGTGGCAATCCTGGTCGACAAGCCGTACACATAAGATCATCAAAAGGGCTACCGGGCAAATCACAAATACCAACAGAGCCAACAACAAAAACTGGCTGAGCAGAGCATACATTTTCAGAACATAACCGAAGCACATTTTTATATCCCAACTGCAAGGTCTCACTTCCTTCACTATCCAAGAACCAAGAAACAAAACCAACATCTCTGGCTAATTTATGTAAGCTCAAGATTGCCGGAACGGACAAACCTCGAACCACAAGAACATCTGTAGTATAGCTTCTTCCTCCACAGTTGAGAGTTACTTGACGTGCTTCTTGAACTCTCTCCGTCTCACCATTAGCAAAGATGAGAGTAACAGGGGATGCTAGTTGGACAGGACGGGCATTACCTAGTACATCACCAATCGTCGATGATACCAAATGAGTCACACAGCCACTATCAAGCAGCCATTTCATAGGTATAGTAGTTCCATCGGACGACACAATCTCAGCAGAGATACTAGTCAAACGCTTCTCAATACTAGCACCATCAGTACGCTCTAGACCACGAAGATCTATCGAAGGGCAGACGGAGATATCTTCCGAATTCCCCAAAGCTACCTCAGGCTGAGGTAGCTGAGGTCCTCAGCTGCCAATCCTCCTTCTACACAGTTAACAGCACTAGATTTTATTACTTCATCAGCAGGAGGGGCATCACGGTCCTCAGCAGAACTAACCACATTTGCAGATGTGTCGGAATGTGGTTGACTTTCGGCAACAGCTGGTGGATTTACTTGCCGAACAATATCTGGAGTCTGTTGTGTAGAGCTCTGAGATTGCTCTACACGACGTCGTTTCCTATCACCGCCATCAGCATTAAATCCACGATCTCGGCGAGCATAGACACGACGACCTAATACAGCTTTACCGTTAACTAATTGTAGCGCCTTCTGAGCCTCCGGGGCATTCTCAAATTGGATCAATCCAATACCCCTACTCTTCCCACTAGAAGAGTCACGAAAAACCTTCAAAGAGATCGGTCTTACACCCGCTACCTTGAGGATAGAACGAAAGGCACTTAAGAGGTCGGACTCAGTAGCGGTATACGATAAGTTCGTCAGGAACAACCTGTCGGTGTTGGTGGTGGCATCAGTAGTCGTTGTAGCAACCGGCATAGCAGCAGCAACACCGTCATCATCATCATAGTCAAGGGCTTGGCTCTCAATAGCATTCACGGTACTTCGCCCTTGACGCTTACTTGCACGACGTAATAGGACAGTACTATGACGCCTACCATACTCAATAAGCTCTTCCAAAGTCGGAGAGTTACCAAACTTATGTAGGATATTTTCACAGATATCATCAGCGAAGCTGGCAAATAGACGATCTGCGATATCCTCTCTAGTGAGGGGGAAACCACGTTGAGCGTCAATCGCCATTCGAATATAGTCAAATCTCAGATAAAAGGTCTCAAAAGTCTCCTCCTTAGTATCCCACACAATATGTTCCCATCGGTCGATAAGCAATCTTCTCGAGTCGACAGAGAGAAATCTATCTATCAGCTCTTTACGGATATAAGAAGCACGATGCATAGCCTTCCGATACCCACGATAACCACCCTCCTTCATCTGCTTGTCCACAATGTTGACAATAATTTCTCTAATATCTTTCCCAAGGCACCGTTCTAAATAGGCACCTTGGAAAAATGCTGGACTCGGACCATACCCAATATCCCAGGCTGGCGTCCTCTCACATTCCTGAATGAAGGTAAGCACAGATCTCTGGTCTTTCCGACCACAATACACTCCTCCAGGTGGGAGTGGTGCTTTATCAGAACGCTTTATAGCATCATCATACATCTTCTGCAGTTCCTTCTCAGACCAATTATTTAACGAAGAATCCACTTCCGGAAGATTCCCCAACCCTTTCTCACCTGATATACCTGGAAGGGGGGTATGAGGTGGAAAAGGTTGGTGGTTACTTTCGTTCTCGTGAATATCATCGACAACCGTAACCTGGTCATGTAGAAGAGATCCCTCATGAGCCAGATGTTGATTAGCAACAGACCCTACTGCTTGACGAGGATGATCCCTATCCAGCACATAGTCAACACCAAAATCACTCTGAGCGGCATTAGGAGGTCGAGGAGTATGTCGCCGTGATGATCCCAAGAAACTCCTAAGGAAGGAGATACAGGACACAGTATGACGTGGTTCCAAACTGGAACTAGTATCATTCCCAGTCATACTAATATTCATACGTGAAAGTCTCTCAGCAAGTCTTCTAACTTCTTCATCTCCAAGATCGTCAATACGAACCGATGATGTTGATGACATCGTTGAATACCAAGTCCTTCAAAGTCTATGGAGTCGGTATCCCGGTAGAATATGCAGGTTT